CTTACTTAATGCGGGTTGGGAATTTCAAAGTTATAATTGGAAATTATAAGTCCAGGTTTCCCCACGATGGTTTCCTTCACCGTTTGTCAGTGGTTTCTAAATAATCTTAAAAGTACATATAACTTGGAAAAAGCCACATTGGTACTTGCAGTCGGTAGAATTCAAGGGCGCACCCTCATGCATGAGAAGCGGGCGTCTTACGCCTTCACAAGACCACGACTTTATAACGACTTAATAGTTACTCTTTTTAACGCAATGAAGCCGGTTTATTTAAATTTAGTTTTTGAAAAGACGAGCTTATTAATATTCGGCATGCATTTACTTAAAATGATTTTATCCAAAGAAAAACTCACTACAAGTCTTAATAATAAACTACGCGAATGCAATCAGGGTAAACCACTAGTATTCATAAAATATTTGTTATACTTATATGAACGTGAATGGCTAATAGAAAGAGTCAATTTTGTGATACGTATGACGATATTGTTTGACAATCACACGACATGTGTTGAATTAGGAGAGCGTGCAGACGAGCAACTGTATTAGAAAAATTTAATATAACATAAAATTAATTATATCGCTTAAGTGGGATAGCCATGCACGAACGGGCCGGAATGATAGCACGATCTCGCAGAAAACCGACGTGAAACAACACTTGCGTTGTATTTCGTCGTGTGAGTGAGGTTCCCCGGCGGCTCAACCCCAATTACACCCCCTCCTGCTCTCCAATACCTGTATCTTTTTTTCTTTATGGCATAAGCCGGTAAACGAGCAGACGGATCACCTGATGGTAAGCAATCGGCGTCGCCCATGGACACCTGAAACAGCAGAGGCGTTACAAGTACGTTACCGGTCTTTTGGGGATTTGGAGTTTGAGGATCGTTGGGGATTCAGGAATTGGGGCGATTGGGCCTCCGGTAACCTCACTCTCACGACGAAACACAACGCAAGCGTTGCTTCACGTCGGTTTTCTAATTACAACCAACAACCCTTAAATTCTTAATCTCCAAAAGGCCAGTAATGCATTTGTAACACCTCAAGTGTTTCGGGAGTCCATGGGCGACGCCGATTGCTTACCATCAGATGATACGTCTACTCGTTTACCGGCTTATACCATAAAAAAATTACAGGTAAACAAAATGAAGCAGTGGCGATAAGTTTAAAGATAGCATGTGTACTGTTTGATATATATTATATAAACCAAAAGACAGTCTTTCAATACGTTACACATGTTGAGCTTGTCTTGCTAGTAAATATTTGATACTCACTTTAGACCAAACCAATTATTATCATATCGTTTGTCTCCGTCTCTCGTTAAAAGGATTACAACGTTACCCTTTTTTATAATTTTAACCTTTTACGACATAAAAGGTGTATGTATTATTGATAGAATAAAATCTATAGTCATCAACAATCAACATTTAGTGTGGGAGAGCCATGCTTCGGCATGAATGGGCCGACTCGACCGGAGTGATACCACGGCTTCACAGAAGACCGACGTGAAACAACGTTGAGTTGTGTTTCGTCGTGAGTGAGGTAACCGGATGCCCAACCCCCTCTCCCTTTCCCCAATCCCTGAATTCAAAGTGCGTTACCGGCCTTTTGGCCGGTAACGCACTTGTAACGCCTCCGTTGTTCCAGGTGTCCATGGGCGACGCCGATTGCTTACCATCATGTGATCCATCATGTGAGTGATACTATCGCTGACAACGGCGCAACTATCGTCGACAAAGTTGCCCGTCTACAACTGAACAGCCTAAAATCAAGCATACGTGAAAACTGATACAAGTGTCAACATTGTCTAATAAATCAAACATGGCCGACGATTTATTCACAGTAATAATCATTTGTAAACATGCATACATACAATTACCAAATTATGTTTGCACTTGAATGTGTCGCTAGTATCTACGTCAAAGATTATTTTGTACTGAGATTGCTGTAGAGATTTTTAGTTCCAATTATGACCGTATGATTTTATAACTTTGTTCTGTTGTATCCTGTATCTTTATTTACTATGTACATCTTAATAACAGACTTCTGTGAAATGTGATTATTTTTTAGAAAAATACATTTAATTTTGGAGCAGTAGTATTTTTCGTTGTCATCTATAGATCTTAGATCGAAATCGTAGAAAAGTCCAAACTGCACATTGAATATTTGTTTTAAATAATACTTGGTGCCTGCTATATTCGATACTGAAGCCAAAAACATGGTTTATAGATTTTTTGTCTGTTTGTCTGTATACGTATGACCGGGATGATCTCAAATTTAAATAGTACTGCATGGATTTACTTCAAATTTTGTATGATTATTACTAACAGGTCGGGTCAACATATAGGCTACATATTATCATGTTATCACCTACGGGGTAAGCGCGGTAAATGACTATTCCACGCGAATAAAGTCGCGAGAATAGCTAGTTTATTGATAAATGTTTTCTAATACAAGTATTTTATTAATTGGTAGGTAACGTATCACTACATAGTAGAAAACAAAGTCGCTATCCGCCGTCTGTCTATCCCTATGTGATTTTTTGATGCGGTTTTTTTAATAAGTATAATACAATACATGTACAATATATGTATATTTTTTAAGGGAGGAAAATCATCGAATGCCTTCTCCCGCCCGGGTGAGGCGGGAGGGTTATAAACAGGCATGGAATTATGTATTTATGTAAGTACACCATCATTAAGACACATTAGAAGAAAGATCTTTTTCTGAGAAATAATTCATTTGTGAAGATAAAAAGGCATCCCAAATCCATAATACGTTTCATTTAGCTCGAACATGGTACCTTTTGATCAAATTACATTGCCCCAAGTTTTGGTACAAGAATGGATCTCTGTTCTTTATCAACTAAGATAGAGTAAAAGTACATGTTAGAAACGTTAATTAACACATTTATATTCACTGAATGTAGATGTAGCCCGAGGTACAAGTACCTTTGTGTATATACAATGTACACCCAATCCCGTAGGATAAAAAGTGGCCTAGGTGTAATTGCAAAATTAATATTATTTAATATTATTAATTAGGCTTAAAGAAGACACCCGTCTCCTTAGGGATGTGTCGTAACAGGCGTTGCACCGTGGAAGCTCCGGAGCAGGTCTCTTTTAGAGGACCCGGTGCCTCCATTCAGGTGTTGAGGGTGGCCATCGGGGTGGTTTTAGTGAGGTAAAAGCCCACACTCCTTAGTCTTTTATCGCCAAAAAGGCTAGGCGCCTTTTTAAGGCCTCCCCGTCATAAAAAAAGGTGTAGATGCAGATCACAATCTATCCCAGTTGCTAATTTCATCTGCTTACTATCCGAGGTACAAGTACCCTTGTGTTTGTACAATGTGTATACGCCCGCGTTCCCATAGTCTATGTGCAAGGTCAGACCATAATCCTATAAAGACAACTACCCTGTTCCAAATTTCGTCTCGAATCTCGATCCCTTCAGCTGTTTTGATGTAAAGAAGCAACAAACATAATACAAATACTCGCATTTATAATTAACTAGATACTTCCGCGCGGTTTCACTCGCATTGCTCGGCGCCTATTAATCGTAGTGTGACATTTTAGCCTATATCCTTCCTCGATAAATGGGCTACCCAACAAAGAAAGAATTTTTCAAATCGGACCAGTAGTTTCTGAGATTAGCACGTTCAAACAAACAAACAAGAAAACAAACACTTCAGCTTTACAATATTAGTACAGATTACGATTATGTTTTGAGAATTTGATACACTCGTAATAGAAACGTTTTGTTTTTTTTTTTATGAACGATTAAATGTTTGCAGCAACTTCAGTTTAGCCGTTTAGGCGAATACGTTTAATAATAAAAATAGTTCTTTCATAAACTGCGTTTAAGAAACCCCGACTTCAAAACCGGTTAGTTAATATACTAAATGTAACAAACAATTGACTGACTGCACGGTTGGTGCGGTGGCTGGGCAACCGGCTGCCGTGCAACGTGTCGCGGGTTCGATTCCCGCACGGGACAACACTTTGTGTGATCCACAAATTGTTGTTTCGGGTCTGGGTGTCATTGTGTATGTGAACTTGTATGTTTGTAAACGCACCCACGACACAGGAGAAAATCCTAGTGTGGGGCAACGTTTTTTTAAAAAAAAAAAAATTACATAAAAATCGGTTCAGCTAATCGCGAGATGATTGCGCACAGACATACATACAGGTCAAATTGAAAACCTCCTTCTTTATCTTTGTATGTCGGTTGAAAATGACACAAGCTTTGGCACATACTCGTAATAGCAATAGAGGTGATAACGGGGTATGAAAATTAAAAATCTATTTAGGCCGCCAGTTAAATACATAACAAAAAATATTAAACACATTTATTTTATTTTGTCCTATAAGAAAACAAAATTTAGATGAAACGAGTCAAAATAGAAGTGGGAGTCAATTACGTACTTTCTACGTAAAAAATATACTTAATAGTGACGTCAGTCACGCGATACTTCAAATCAATATGACGTCGAAAGTATTTGTTTCCGTAAGAAAACAAAAAATACTCGCGTGACGTCACTTCTATGTACAGGTGTAAACACCTAGAAATAACGTTTTAGCCCCCACTCCTAAACTTTGATTCGTTATCTATATGGTATATATTTAAGTATCATTTTATTATACAACAAAATAAAAAAACGTGTCTAATATTTTTTCATTACCCTACCCTTCCTTAATCTCCCCAATCCCTGAATCCCCAACGATCCTCAAACTCCTAATCCCCAAAAAGCCGCTGACATACTTGTAACGCTTCTGGTGTTCCAAGTGTCCATGGGTGACGCTGATTGCTTACCATCAGGTAATCCGTCTGCTCGTTTACCGGCTTATGCCATAAAAAAAAATAACTGACGGACTAATTAGATTTTTAATTTTCATACCCTGTCATCATTCCTATTCTTTTTTGCACTATAGGGGTTCAGAAAATTCATGGACAAATCAAATTTACCATGAAATAATCAAATCCACATAAAATAATACCACTATGCTTACCTGAGTACTGATAGGAGGTGGACAGGGAAGTAGCAGACAGCGAACATGACGACCACGGCGACCAACATCTTCGCTGCCTTTCTTCTTGAACGCAATTGAGCTGGAAAACAAATAAATATGTCAATAAATATAATCATCATCATCAACAGCCTATAAGTTCCCACTGCTGACCAAAGGCCTCTTCTCACACGGAGAAGGTTAGAGCATTGATCACTACGCGTGCTCAATGCGGGTTGGTAATTTCAAACTTATAAATAGACATTGTAAGCCCAGGTTTTCTCGCGAAGTTGTCCTTCACAGTTTGTCTGTGTTGTCTAAATAATCTTAGAAAGTACTTATAACTGGGATAAAGTCTCAAAAAGCTAAAAATAACATAAGTATCTTATCTACTTAAGTACTGACACTGACTTGTGTTCAAACAATTAGAAATGTTTTGGCGATTAAAGTACCTCTTCTTTTTTCGAAGTTGGTTAAAATAGAGATACTGGAAGTTGGGAAGGGTTGATTATAAATATGGATGATTTTAAGGTGAAAGTATCAAAATAATTGACTATTTTTTATTCTTTATTTATTTCTAAATAATACATAACACAACGTCACGCCTTTTATCCCCGAAGATTGTAGGCAGAGGTTCACATTACGGCTCTAAGTGCAATTGTACAACGTAACACCCAATTTTCACAATTCATGTTATGAGTCCCGTGTAATAAGGGGTGAGCCTTTTGCCATATACCAGGGCACAATTTCAGTCTCAGCCCCTACTGAGTTTAGTTAAAAAAAAACTAGTAATACTTTTCCAGAATCGAACCCGAGACCCCTTACCCCTGATGGTAAGCAATCGGCTTGGCCCATGAACACCTGGAACACTAGAGGCGTAACAAGTGCGTTACCGGCCCTTTGGGGATTAGGAGTTTGAGGATTATTGGGGATCCAGGGATTGGGGAGATTGAGGAATAGGATTCAAAGTAATTGGGCCTCCGGTAACCTCACTCACACGACGAAACACTAAAGCGTTGCTTCACGTTGGTTTTCTGTGAGGCCGTGATATCACTAAAGTCGAGCCGGTCCATTCGTGCCGAAGCATAAAATTACTCTTGGGCAGTTTTTATCAGTGTGTACAATCGTTTAGCCGCTTTCGAAGTTGGTTGTGCAAGTACCTACACTTTGTATCAGACCGACATCTAGTCTAGTTTGAATTCTTGCATCATTCCTGTTTCGGACACATTCCATTAGAAAAATAATTAACTTAATTATTATGTTTTCGGCGCGACAGTTGCCGCGTCGCGGGTCGCGGAATGCTACTCATGCCCAACATTTACGTGTGTAAAACGAAAACATAATAATTAATTTAATATGTCTCTATTCCTACAAATATGTAATTAATGATTACCTACGTAACTTATAAAATATCAACGACAGATTATTTAAATTCCAGTTCTAATTACCTACATTACAAATTGTAATTACGAAATTAATTGGCTTATTCAATCTAAGTTCAGTGAACTGGAATCTCAAATAAAATCTTTTTTAATTTAAATTTTTATACAATAAAATAGAACATATTCGTGTTTTATACAACTTTATAGGATTTGCTAATTACTAAGGGTGCTCGACTTGCTGTAATGCAGTGTGTATTGACACCAACGCTTATGTATGGTAGTGAATCATGGGTGTGGCAGAAGAAGCATGAAAGCAGAATTGATGCGGTGGAAATGAGAGCTCTGAGAAGTATATGTCGAGTAAAATTGAGTGATCGAGTGAAAAATAGTGTTATTAGGGAAAGGTGTGAATTGAAAGATGATGTAGTGGACAAGGATTGAAAAAAAAATGTTTCGGTTTGGGCATGTCGAAAGGATAGATGAAAGTAGAGTAACGAAAGAAGTATATAGAGCAGATATGAATGGGGCCGTGCGTCGGTAGAGGGCGCCCTAGACGGGTATGTACTGGCCAGATTGGCGTTGTATTAAAGAAGGGCCAAATAAAAGTACCCTTAACCGACGAGCATGCATAAAAAGATTGATGACTGTTGATGAAGCGAAAGAGGTATGTAGGAATCGTAGCAATTGGCGTTCCATAGTCTCTGCCTACCTCCATGGGAGACAGGCGTGAAATTATCTATGTATGTGTTACTAACGAAGGTTATGTTAATATCCTCATAGCCCAATCGGATCACGACCTATTAGAAAAGTTAAATCTAGATCAGGGATCAACTTTAGACCTACAAAGCCTAACTTTTAATCATCCATATCCTTTACGCCCTTTGACACATGAAACCTTGGAAACTAGCCAGGACCTTGAAACTATCACTTTCGAAAACCATTCTTACAACACATGTAATAAGAACTACATTGCTTTAATCAAGTTAATAGTCATGTTTTAATTGATTGCGTCGAACTAAGGTTCCAATTTTAAACTTTTAATGGAAATTCTTGCTATTAGGGAAGTATTGATACTTTTTAATTATTGTTAAATTTACTTTTTTATTCTTTTTAGAAGACTGGAGCGGATGACGTAAAAACTTTTTAGTATCAACTCAAATTATTTTTAACGAGACTTATTTAATAAAATGTGAGATATAGTAAAAAAACAAACATAAGCTTTCAATTTGGTCGAGTGGTTGACAGTTATAACCGACGTGTAACAACGCTAGCGATGTGTTTCGTCATTTGATTGAAGTTATCGGAGACCCTAATAGAATCTCCTCAATCTCCCTAACCCCCGAATCCTCAACAATCCTTCATTTAAAAAGTCCGGAGACGCACTTGTAACGTCTCTGGTATTCCGAGTGTCCATGGGCGACGCCAATTGCTTACCATCCGGTGATACGTCTGCTCGTTTACCAGCTTATTCAAAAAAAATCAAATTTTTACATTGACCCTGTGGGTGGACGTTCTATTTTATTACTGAAAATTTGAAAATCGCAGATCGAATCAAGCTGTTATGACCAATGAAGTATTCAAATTCAAAAATCGAATTCAAACATTTATAATCTAGAAATTCAACCAGCGTAATAGACGTCTAAGGGTTCTCTTTATGAATTCTCAAAATTGCAAATTGAAGCGTATTGCAATAATAATAAACTTCAAAATTGGTATTCATTGCAATACGAAACTAATTTGTATGAAATCCACAAGGTATTGTATTGCAAATGACATATTATAATAAAATATTAAAAAGGCCTTTGATATAAATAGAATAGCCGTTAGCTAGTTATAATTTGGTATCATAATATAATAGACTTTCAAATTGCTTTTAAAAAAGACAAAAATGTCTTGAGGTGAATATATATTTTTTTTATTTTACTTAACCTTATATTAAACAAAACATAACATCACGCCTTTTATCCCCGGAGGGATAGTCAGTGGTGCACATTACGGCACTTAATGACACTGTACAATGGTAACACCCACTTTTCACTATTTATGTTATGAGTCCCATATAATAGGGGGTGAGCCTATTGCCAAATACATATCCATATTATAGAGTTACATAACCTTATTTTTTTAATGTTAACCTGTTTTGATTTTAAGTTATTCTAGGTATTGTATTGTCTATACTAATATTATAATGAGGATAGATTTGTACCTATTTTTGTATGTTTGTATGTTTGTAATGAAGTACTGGGCCGATTTAAAAAAGTCTTTCACCAATAGAATGCTAAATTCTTCCAATTTGACATAGGCTACATTTCATTTTGCAAAAATTTATCCTTGGTAAAATTTGAACAATGTAACCGAAGGTGTAGAAAAATGAGTCTTAAAATGTCTTTCGTCGAATGCACTGCCGAAACTATTAGCGATAGAACAAAATAATGTACAACAATATTGAAGAACATCATAATGTCTACAAAAAACTCCGCGGTAGCATATGTCCAACTATTGTAGTTATGTCACTACAACAATCCAAATTTCCAAAAATAAATAATCGTCTACCCCGTGTGTAGCCGGGACGGGCTGCTAGTATTTTATACTTTTGTGTTGTCATTAAAATCCAACAATTGCTATTGACGTTTGTATAATGAACACGTTAATGTTTGTACACTGAAACAACCTTTTTGTTTTGATAAAATTGATTTAACATCAAATTATGTGCACGCACGCACGCACTCACGCACACACACACAAATTTATCTTATAATACAAGCTGTTACCTGCGACTTCGTCCGCGTATAATAATGACTTATGGCAAATTTAGGATTTTTTTATTGGTCTTTTCCACTGTGTAACAACATACATACATACATAACTTCACGCCTGTCTCCCATGGGGGTAGGCAGAGACTAAGGAACGCCAATTACTACGACTCTTACATACCTCTTTCGCTTCATTAACAGTCATCAATCTTTTCATGCATGCTCGTCGGTTAAGGGTACTTTTACTTTTACTGTGTAACAAATCTCATCAGAATCAGTTCAGTTATATTTATTGTGAAATATTGTAAATTTTCGTGAAAATAAAAAATCCCATAGAGATTTTACCCGTATAGTATACATTCCCTTGAGGTTTCAGAAATTAAAACAACTCCATTTGAATTCCAATCAAATGGGTACAACAGCTGAAAATCAGGCGTCATTTTCCGAGTCTCGAACTACCGTCGTCGTGCCGATTTCCACTCAAATAAGTTTAATGGTTTAAAAGATAGAGAGACCCAGAACTTTAACACAGTTTCTGTTTCCGTGGGATTTTTGGAATAAAATCTGATATTTGATCGAACCATGATTCAGCACGAATGGGCCGGCTCGACCGCAGTGATCCCACGGCCTCACAGAAAACCGACATGAAACAACACTTGCGTTATCTTTCGCCGTGTGAGGGAAGTTACCTGAGGTTCAATTATTCCCTTCCCCAATCCCTGAACAAATGTTCAACAAACCTCAAATTCCTAATCCCCAAAAGACCTCCGGTAACGCACTTGTAACACTTTTGGTTTTTGGGTGTCCATGGGCGACCCCGATTGCTTACCATCAGGCAATCCGTCATCGATAATTTAGGATTCCGATAGGTAGTTTCGGAGCCTATTCAATTAAAACAAACAAAAGATCAAATCTTTCCTCTTTATACTATTATTGTATATTAAGTCTCTATTAATCGTACAGTAATT